AGTTGACGTACATGAACAAAGCCGCAACTTCTTCATGCAGGAATATTGATGGGACTAGCAGCGGAGTACTCATGCCTGAAAGCTGTTTATCTATGCCAAATTAATATATATATATATGTATATGTATATATTATTATCCTCGTATATATACATATATATATGTATTACTCCTAAGATTGATTCCTATATGTATCATTAATGGTGAAAATATATATAGGATTACTGCAAGGAGTGCGCACCACCATGGGAAAGCAAGTATTAGAGCCTTTCTTCGTGTGCTGAAGTACTTGCCACCAACCTGAAAAAAAAAAAAAAAAAAAAAAAAACATTTGTAGTCATTTATTTTTGTGGTTTAATTATTTTGATTTGGAAATTGAAGGAGCTTTCCGTGATTATATTGTTAAATAGGATAATTTTATTATTTTGTTCAAATATATTTATTTTAACTCAATTTTTAAATTTTAATTATTTCATAGGTAAAATTTAAACATATTTGATATATAATTAAATAAATTTTATTCATATTTTCAGTTCTACAACCACAACCACATGAATTTTGTACTTCTATATATCAAAAAATAAGTCACAAAGCTAAAAACAAGAAAAATAATGTTGTAATTTAAAAACAAGCTAAAAACTAAATTGTAATATCCAGCTGGTACCAGATGGCGCCAAAAAAAAAAGAGAAAAGAAAAATTAAAAGAATATATATATAATTAATTAAAATAAATAAAGAAAAGAAAAACAAAATAAAATAAAAGAGCCCAAAGATGTACACCTCTGAAAGCACAAGGAAACTAGGTGGCAATTATATATATACATATATATGTATGTATATATATAATTTTAAAAAAAATAATTAAAAAAAAGGAATGTAGAAAAAAGGAGAATAAATCAAGCGGAAATATGTGTATATATATATATATATAAAAGTAATGAAATAGCAGAGAAAAAAAAAGAAAGAGAGGAAGAGAGCTGAGTTCGAGCAGGTGAGAGAGGAGGTCGAGCTGAGTGAGGATCGGGGCCGAGAGAGCATAGTGAGGGGAACAGCCTTGGCCGCGTGAGGAGGAGGAGTGAGCCGCAGTCGCGACGGTGAGACGTGGCGGAAGGGGAGACGTCGCGGGAAGGAGAGAGAGAGAGAGAGAGAGAGAGAGAGAGAGAGAGAAAGAAGAAGAAGAAAAAGAAAAGAAAAAAAAACAAAGGAAAAAGAAAAAGGAAGAAGAAAGAAAAAAAAAAGAAAAGAGAAAGAAAAGAAAAGAACAAAAATGGAATAAAAGAAAAAAAATGATGAAAGAAAAGAAAAAAATTAATGAAATTAAGAAATAAAAATGGAAGTGTGGCGATGATATTGGTGCGTCACATGTGAAAATGCACGCTAATTCAATCATCAGCACTTGGCATTTTTGGTGTCACGCATATGATGGCACGTGGTGATGTTGGCGACCGGAACGGTGTGTCTCAAGGTAAAATTCGTTTCTCATTTCACGTAATATAGTTTTCAAAATATTTAATTTATGTATTTTTTATTATAAACTAGAAAAACTATCCAAACTATATTCAAATTTTCGAGAAGATCGTAGATCGAGATAGAAAAGATTCTCAAACCTTTTCTGATC